AATTAATTTCCTGAGTAGAAATCTAAATAATTGTTAATATAATGGAGCTCTGTATTAATACATTAACTGTATCAACAGAATATGAATCTGCTACAACTGCACATGTACGTTTAGGCTAAGCTCTAACTTATGTTCATGTAAACGTTTATACATCAGATACTTGAAACCTCGTATTAATTAATAAACATTGAATGTCTTTCTTTTCTTTACAATAGAAAACAAAAATTTAGAAACAAAATAATTAAAAGGGTGAAATGCGACTAAATAATAATAAATCATTGCTGTTTCTTATGAATTATTAAACCCTGAAAATTATTTTAGACTTACCCGGTAATCTCATATACGGCGTATTCGAAGAGCGGGATGTTGAAAGTCCGTAACCAATTTAAAATTAGATGAACATGATCTTACCAAATACATGTAGCCAAAAATAATATTGACTTCTTAAATAAAGATATATACGTATGGAATGAAATTGATTAATACTATAAATTTATTGGGTGCAATAAATACATTTACTCGTCTTGCATAGTCACGGCGGAATCATACTTCTTTTTTTATTTAGTATAATACCGTAGAAAAAAAATAATGCGAGCAAATTTTCATAATTTAAAATGTTATAATTATTTTAATCTTTTCTACGATCAAAGAAATTGTTTCCTAGAATTAATTCTGTCTTTAACCCGATGAAAACCCGGTGATTCGTAAGAAAAACCGATGATCCGAAAGTTCATGTACCATACGTGCAGTATGTTTTTTTTTTAAATTTCATTAAAAGACATTTACATAAAGTTATGGAAACATCGTACAGATAAAATAAATCAGCGGATTGAGTTAAGGGACTTTGTTTCATGAAATTGTTTTATGTGATTTTTTTTAAATATTCAAGCAAGGAAATGATTTTTCAAATCCATAAATTGTACAATTATTTAAGTGATTAAAAAAATGAATTATGAGTGTACATGTAGTTCACGAAAATAGATACTGTTTGACACAAGGTGAGAAAGCAGTTCAGGTATGTTGACGGTGAACTAACACGGACCAAGGTGTCATTTAGGGGGCTAGGGGAGAAGGGGAAGGGGTGTTGACCACACAGGAAGGCAGTGTGCTGATTAGATAGGTACACATACGTGTCAGCTTTATGGTAGGGAAAGCTCTTCGATTTGACACGCAAGTGCATTATATTTCAGGTTATTTCCACACCGAAAAGGTAAGCTGTTCAAAGTCATCATGTTTTTTCCTGTTTATTATTTTTAGATTATCAAATGCCAGATTAAATTAATGTAAAACTTCTATTTTATAGTAACTGCCATGCATGGTGTGATAAATCGGGTAGAGCATTTTCATGCATTACATTTTATAATTTTGATATAATTCTTTTTCTAAATTTAGACATATTAAGAAATTTAACTAATTAGATAATGATAAAAATAAATTGAAAAGAATGTACCTATACGGAGAAAATCTGTGTTAAAATTTTCTGGATCATTGTCTTAAATGCTTTTTTACTATTATTTTTTTTTAATTAAAATTTTAAATAATTGTGCATACATGTACATGCAGATCAGAGGCGAAAACACATTCCTAATATTACCAGTCGTTTGATAGGGGGAAAATGAATATTGTATTTAAAAAATATACATATAAATCCTCTGCTAATTATTATTAACATTTTCCGTGACTTACCGAAAATCATCCTCTAGTGACTCATTTCCATGAATTTAAAAAAAAACCCAACAGGGAATCGATTATTTCATTTTCAAAAATTAATTTTGATTCTCTACTTGTCTATGATATGATTATTTTCTTAATTTGATTTATTATTAATTGTTTAATTTATTAATTATATTATTCATATATTTATTCCTTTCCGTCCACGCTTTAATATTTCTTTTAATGATGAAAAACTAATGAATTAAATTATCTTTTCTCTTTCTTTGTTAAAATAATCTTATTTTAGTTAACAAAACGAAAAAGAAACTCGGAATACCTCGGTAGTTTCTTCCTATGGTAAAGATAAAAAGCGAGGGTTTCCGAATATACACGATAAACGCAAAACACGATACACGATAGAACCTGATAAACGATCTACACGATAAACGCAAAACACGATAAACGGAAAACACGATAAACTGAAAACACGATACGATAGGATACGATAGGATACACGCACGATACGATAGGATACACGCACGATACGATAGGATACACGCACGATAGAACACGATAGATTTGTAAAGAATAACGATGCGGGTACTGTACTTCCTGTTCAAAAGTTAATTGCCAAGGTTAAAGTTTTTTTTAATTGGGTCAAACTCTAGGGTCAAGGTCAAAATATTTATACCTGTTAAAAGTTCACAATGAATACACCTGTTAAGCATGAAAGCCCTAGCACTTACTGATCAAATTTCTTCAGACAAACATTATTGATAAATACAAGAAGCAAAATATGTAAATAGTCAAATGGGGAAAAAATCTATTTTGGAGTCACAAGATTTATTGTAATTCCAGGGACAGGGAGTGGCTAGGGAAAGTGGACCCCGCCCCCTGGAATTTGCTTTGTTATTCAAATAAGACTATATACATGTACTGAAGTCTTAGAGAAAAATGACTTTGGACATTTATCCCCCTTATCAAACATTGACCCTACGACACCACTATCATTGATTTTGTTTTGTTTTCATTTTTTTTTCTTTGCTTGTGAGGAAATTCTGGGCTAGGATTTTTATGACTGAGGCGTGAAACCCCCCTCCCCCTCCTGAAAAAAATCTGGATCTGCACCAGTAACTGAATGTCACATGGACAACGGGAGATAACTTCACAATGTGAAATTTGACGACTGTGCCATGCAATGATCTTTGAACTTTAACCTTTTCGGTTTATTTTACCCCAATCTATACTTAAACTTGTACTTACCGACTGTCACAAGTATTGACAACTTCATGAAATATAATCCAATTATAACATAAAATGAATATTTTCCATACACATCTGCACCATGTGCATGCTATGTAAACTTTGGATGATTCCGTTCAGTGCGAATCAGCCGAGGTGTGCCGAGTGAAGCTTAATCTAAAAATATGTTATAGGTGACGCAACCCAATGTGATGTAGAAATTTTCCAAAAGGTGTTTACATGTAAACATGTAAAGTTCAAGAACAAATTTTAATAAATCAATGCATAACAAACTATGTTTTAACATAACTTTTCCATCTGCATATGTAGCCTATTTAAAAAAAAGTACGTTTCGTGAGATCAAGGGTATGTATGTGTGTGGTGTTTGGGGGAGGGAAGCATTATTTAATTTAAAAGGTTCCAATTATGATCAAAACATTTTTAAAAATCTAATTCACAACATTAATTAGATTCTGTTTTTTCAAGCACATGGGCATCGGAGCAAGGGGGGGGGGGGTAGGGGGCTTTAAACCCCCCTTTTTTGCAAAGATAGACATTTTCTATGAATTGAAAATTGGGGTTTACCTTTTTTGTTGATTTAGCCCCCGCCACTTTCAATTTCCTTCCGATGCCTATGAAGTATATAAAATACTGAGTCATAAGTCACAGTGTCTGAGAATGTTATACTCTATGTGACAAATACATGTACTGTGTAAATTATAGATTTTTTTGACTTTTCCTTGGAAAGCCTAATATGTACGGGTGTGTATTTAGAGGCAAACACATTAGTGCGGGTATTACTGTCTCATGACAGCATCTAGTTTTGCTTTGGAAATGCATTCTCAACCATTATTAATATATTTTCTGAGTACAAACTTTAATTGTTTGTCTAAAGACTTAATATTCATCTTAAAATATTCAAAACATAATAAACATGAAAAATAGGGATAAATTCGTCTCCTCTACAACAATTCAAATGATACGAGAGATGATGTTGATAGATTAAAAAAATCAAGAGGCTCAGAAGAGAGACAAATTGGCGCTTTTAATTAATACTGAATGTTGATCGAATTCTAAAATACACCATGATGTCCGTTATTTTAAATTATTGTCTTTTAAAGTCATCTCATTAACAGTGCATACATTGAATGTTTAGTTTGATGGCAAATATCCTCCTAATATATATTACATACTTTAATGACAACTTTTATGTTGCAATAAAATGTGAAAATTACAATTAGTAAACTTATGCTGTAAAATCCAAGTCAACAATACAGAATAGGAGCAGAGCAAATATGGATATCTATAAAATATGTACTGTCGGTCGGTCGCACTCACTGAGTGTCCTAGATCAAGAGCAAGGTGTATCAAAATTTATTTTATAAACCTTTTTCCTCTTTTAATCGCTCGAAAAGCACAAGCAATAGATGCTGGTATCTTTTGTTTTAAATTGCAACGATTATATATAATTAACTATTCTAAGAGATAAACAATGGTTTATTATTTTTTCTGTTGACATGATTCCTTTATAGAATATCCCGATGACAGAATCATAAAAATGTAACATCATACCATTTATTAATTAGTTTCCTTTTATTGTACAAATACAAATATATATTGGCACAAACACAATTGCAATAATTGGCAAAGGCACATCATCAATTGTTCATTATATTTAAACAGTAATCTGGTATAGAATGTAAGGCTATATATAATCATAGCTAAATTGTACATCATTTGTAAAATAATTATGTTAAGCAGTCATTTCTAGATGTAATGCATTTTTTAATAAATGAGTTTATTTTCAGTACTTCTGGACAATGGCTATTTAAGCAAAGTTTAACTTTTTGAGTATTAGACATATTTAATATTTTATCATGGAAAAAATTCATCAAATTCCTTTAAAAAGTTAACCTATGATTATTGTATTTATGGCAGATGAAAAGAAAATGAAATTCATCTTCAACTTCCCCTCTGTTACATATATTACAAATTCTTTTATCTGTAGGTATAGAAAAATGTCTTCCTTTTTCTATTGCAAGGTTATGAGCACCAAGTCTCATTCTGCTAATAATTGATCTGTCTGTTTTTTTTTTAATATATCAGTGTATCCGCATCGTTTGAAATTATTAAAAGCAACTTGATAAAATTTTAGTTTCGATGAATTATGAATCTTTGCATATTCCTCTTGTATGCATTGATCTGATATTCTTTGTTTTATGCTTCTCAAAAGTGGTTTTATTGAATTTTCTTTTTTAGTAATGAATGAAAATCCCAATTTGTTGAAAATTGAAAAAAAATATTTTTAGTCCATGAGTTTGTTTTGACTGTTGTTTTCTAGATTTTAAATGCTAAAGTATTCTTGGAAGTAATAAGATGGTTCCAAAATTTTATACTTGAAACTTGTATCTATCATTGGGTCGTTTTGTGGCTGGCGAGTTTATATTAATGCCAATTTTACGCCTTTGATTTTATAATCATTTAAATTCTATAAAATACTTGAATCTGATTGCATAAAAAATGTTTTGATAATTGCATCAATAAAATCTAGAGTTCCTTAGCACTAAGCAGCCGGGAATACTTTGACTGTCTTTACACTTTGTACCGTGGAATCATTTATATTCGTGGGGGTCAATGTTCCAGTGTAATCAAAAATGTCCTGGCTCGTGGAGACGTGATTTTTTTGGTAACAAGTTCTCTTTCTTTTTTTTCCAAAGTGAAAACAAAGAAAGACAACTCCTTCAAAGTTGATTATTTAAGTTTTCTCTCTTGTGAACAGAAAAATGTACCAGCGGCTTGCACCAGAGACTTATACATTGTAGCTGTGATGTCGCAGAAAATTACGATTATTAGGAACAGCTTAAATATCTAGATGAGAAAGACGAGGTAAATTAATGCCATAATTGACTTAAAAACGTTTACACCCGAAACCAATTCAAGGTAATTCTCAAGTTGTTATTTACGCATGATCATGTAATAAATTAATTTCTGTAGCTTGTTAAATTTCACTGACGTCACATTTAAATTTCCAATACGATGTACAAGGAATTTGAACTCTGTCCTTCCTTAACATAGCTGAGTTCAGATATCCTCCTCTTTCATTTTTGACATTGTTATCTGTGTTACCATGACTTCTCTCTTCTGATTTATTATTGATCTCAGCCCCCAGGACACCGTGCCGTCTTTTTTCTGAATCATTTATGATACAAACAGTTTCAAATACAGGAATTTTTCCTTCTCTTTTGCTATTTATATCTGCTTTTGTGTCAACAAGTGCTCTCTTCTGTAGTTGACTGAAATAAGCAGCCTCTGTGACATCATGGATTTCCTGCAATGGTTTAATAGAAACACCAGCCTCTGTGACATCTTGGGTTTTCTTCTCTTGTTTTCTATAAATGCCATCCTCACTGACATCATAGATTTCCTTCTCTGGTTTACTATTAACACCAACTTCTGGAATGAATTATAATATTTTCATTATCATTTCAACTGTAAGTAACTGTAATTATGAAAATTTAACAAACGTTTGAAAAGCCTAATCTATGCCACGTATATCGATGCTCTAGTATTTTATTCTATGGGCTTTAAATTCAATCAATTTACAAGACATGTAACAATTAATGTAAAAATTTATTCAAGTTAAAATTTTTTTACATTAGCATTTGAATTTTAACTTTTATACCCAAATATGAAATTTAATTATCATATTTACCTTCATCTTCAACTGTAGAATTTGTAAGCAATGAAATACGTTCATGAGAAGTACTGGTGCATTGTTCGTGCAAGTCATTTTCAGGGCCATTTTCCATTATTCCCGCCAAATGATCTGTCCCTAAAGTCATTACACAAGAATTTATTTGAATATCAATTTGTTCTGTAATGATTCTAAGCTATATTCAAAACGAAGCGTCGCGCGATTTTTCTAGCTTAAATTTAAACTGTCTCATTAAACTACAAAAAAAAAATTTGGATAGGTATTGTTTTTTTTTTAGATCATTCTTTGTTTTTTACAATCAGGAACCGAGTTACGTGCGTTTTGGTTTTTAAATCCTCAAGTTCAGCTTTAAAACCCACATAGAGAGTGGTCCAAAATTAATTATAAACTTTTCAAATTTTAACTTGAACTCGTCCTGCGAAAAATATAAAATTATCAAAATACCGTTATTCAGATACCGTTTACACTAAATGTTAGAGTATAACCCATCAGTGTGATTTAGTAAATAGGTTTTATGTAATAAAAGAGACGCTAAATAAAATCAAGATACTAACTATCATAACACTTTCTCGTATTATGCTTGGACTTATATCCACACCTAATTTCATTTAATAATTAAATAATTTCTAGCTCACTGATTGACTAAGATCAAACCTTGTAAAATTATTTTATTTAATGTCCACCTCCATTGATCTATCGGGTGAACAACAAGATTTATTTTTTCTTATATATTGACTTAATATAGAGAGGAGATTTCAAAGATATATAAACAATTTTGGATAATTATTTCACTTCCACATGGATACCACTCAGGTGAATATCACATCCAGCTTTAAGACTTGGTGTGGATTAGGTAGGAAAATGTACAATGTAAATGTGGGTGTTCCAGGAGCCTTAATCTATTAATATTTTTGTTTAATTATCTTTAATTTGATTAATGAATCATATAATTAATCCGTTTAGGCTCGTTAAATATTTTACTTGGAATGTTGCTAAAGTATCTAGACTTATCAAGAAGAACCACGTGCTGATACCCTGGATTTTTGGCACGTGGTTATGCCCATGGTTTTTGCAGAGTGGGCTATGCTGCAAAGCACTGGGCCGTGCAAAATGTTTTTTTTTATTTCATTTTTTTTTTAAATATTTTACTCGTGATTTTAAGTGTGTTATCATTTTAGAATTATTCGACTGATTTAATATAACGTCTTATATCCCTTATGTACTTTCTAAAACAACCACAAATACGACTGCTGCTGCCGATAATTAAATGAAAGAAATGCCTACCTGGATTTGGTTCTTTGGTCTTTCTAAATCTTTGTTTTCTTTTCCAGAAAATAACTAGAAACAGGAGGAGGAGGACAATCCCTCTAGCACACAGTCCTCCTACTATTGCTCCAATTTCGGCGGTTTCATACTCCTGGAGTGAGGCTGTTTGAATATTTATTATCGTGCTGCTGTAAACTTCATGGTCTACGTTTATTCTAGTTGTAGTAGCCCTTGATTTGTGAAAGATATTCTCTGTTCTGTTTTAAAATGTTTATTGATCATCAAATGATAACTTCATTCATACATGTAAAAATTCGTTTGTTTCAATTATTTCCTTTACTTACAATTTTGAACAGGAAGGATCGGCAAGATAGCAGTGACCTTGTGTGTTGATTTGTTGACATGCAGGATCTTAATCAATAAATTATGAAGATTGAATATTCGTAAAGTGGTTTATTATTAGGCTGTATGCAAATTAAAAAAAATAAAGTTATTATCTCTCATACAATTGTAATGTTCATTGCTTCTGAAAGCATCATCTGGACAGCCTTCTATAAACCCTGAGCAGTCACGTGAAAACAGATTTCCCTCAGTCGTCTCCAAACAGTTTCCTAAATACATATGATATTTTATCAATGATGATAAGACTGCTTGAGTGTAAGAATAAGATGTAAACATTCTATATTTACTTGACATGGGATTTAATCTTTGGTACATGTGTTTGGTAAATAGAACAAATGATTGTTATTGACTTTTGAATTGATTAAATAATGTAATTGATATCGATAAACCAAACGTTTTTGTTTCTCACCTCTTTGTATTATTCCCATGATTCCTTTGTAACAAAATTCTACCAGACCACTCTTCTCTATGTTAGGGACACATATATACTGATCATTACCATACTTGTCACGACCACAGTCCAGTCTTGTAGATGATTTCATAACTTCTGTGAGATTTTGAGGACAGGATTCGACAAAATCATTCATGGTTGCATAGGGAATGAAGTCAATAAAAACCTTATTGTACAATCAAATTGTAAATAACACAAAACTAGCATAAAACAAAATACAATGATTTCTCTTTTAAAATATTTTAAAAAAATAAAAATATTATCGATGAGGCATACTGTTTTATAATCTAGCAACCTTTAACAAAGTAAGTTGGGATTCCTCCTTATAACAAGACTGTCTGTTTCAATGTCACAAAATAGAAAAGGAATAATAAAAATTTCATAAATGACATAAAAGATCGGCTGTACCTATTTTGAAGAGAACGCGTTTTTGTTTTTTTTTATTTAATTTGTCTTTAAAATGTATAAAGGAATTCTATGTATATAAGATATTGGACAACTTTGAAGTCTTATAACCAGTTAATTGTGTATTACTAGATGAAGGTGAAAAAGAGAATTAAATTTACATAATTGAAAACTTCAAGAAACAGGCCAAGTTGCATCTTAAACATTTTTGAGGAGTCATTTGCTCTTCATGACAATAACATTCCTTTAATTTTGTGAAATTATAACTGTGATTATTGATTATTAATCAAAAGAAATAAGACACTTGGTGCTTAATTCATTTTCTATGATAAAATCGAGAATCCAGATATTTAACAAAAGGCTTTGAGGAATTCCAATGTTTTTGAAATTTGCTGAAAACATGCATTTTGACTACTTTTAGCAAAGAATTAAAATATCTGTTTCTAAAATTACATCGGAAAAACATCGTTTTGTATTTATGGAAAATAAGACACTATGAAATTTTATTTATTCAATGCAATGTTTAAAATCTGGAATTGAATTTTTAAACCCAGGCATTCTTTACTTTTTCTCTTTGCCCGAGATTAGCACATACATTTTTTTGGTTTAGTTCGACTTTTCTACATGGCGAGTAGAGTTTTGATGCTGTTTACGGAGATTTAAAAAAAAAGACAAGCAAACCATACGGTTGTGTAGATAAATTATCGTAGAAGCCAAGTCAAAATCAAAAACTGTTTTTACAAGTCTTTTATTGTAATATAAACACCGGTTCCATGGAAATAAGTTTTTTTTCGTACTATTTATTAAATGTATACAAAAAAACAAAATCAATGCACCAAAAATTAAAATGCTTAACAGTTCTTGTTAAGGATTTATTTGATCAACGCAATCTGTTTAGCAGGTTTGATGATAAGACACGCAAACAAGAAGGAGCGGACGTTGTTAAGATCCCTAGTCTGATACTATTTCACTTGTTGGTTGCTTACTCTATATACACTAAATTTATAATGCAAATTGACTTTAAACATTTTTTAAATAAAACATCACTTTTGAAGTAGGTAACCGTATTTCTATACATGTCTGAATTTGCTACCGTATATTAAATAAATGATTCAAAATGATTAAACTTATAAAAGATAAAAGACCATACGTAAACAATGTTCGCTGAAAACAATAATTGAAGCAATCCATGCAAAAATCAAGGACGACAATAGATGTGTACCAGGGTCGTAACATAAAGGTTACTTACGTCTAAGACCGTGCTTAAATAGGACTTAAGTACAGTCTAAAAGTTAAGACCGTAACTAGAAGCGTTCTAAGATTTTGCAATCTTAGAAAAACTTAGGCGGCCGGTTATAATTATTTTAAATCGATTTCCGATGTTAAAACATTCCTCTATTCATATTATTCATTAAAAAAATATTTAACTCTAACTGACGCTGATAAAACATTTTTTTTCGTTTTTCGTTGGGGTGGGTGGGTGGGGGGGGGGGTATCATGGATTCTAATAGCACTCTCAATACAGCATACCTTAGTAAATACAAAATTTGATTTAAAGGTACTTGGACACAGATTTGAAGTTAATATTTCCTCATTTTTTCTGTATAATATCACGAATTATATATTTTAATAGCATTTCACAAAAAAATTAATTAAAAATCTTATTTCGTTTAAAAGTTATTAAATCTTTAAATTTTTTGGCGGGTTTGATTGACACATCCTTGCACTTTCACAAATTTTAACTTTATTCTTAATCCTTGGGAAAAATTGCAATTTTTATTTGTTTTAATGAGAAATATTAAAACTGTTATCAAGAAAAATAATTTTATTCAAAGTGGAAATGTTAGAAAGCAAAACACTTTCACAAGTATCGTCATTCCGAACTAAGAGATGCGTACAGAGTTTAGCAAATCGAGCACACTCGTGTTATGTACACAGTTTTTGTAAACAGGGCTCGAGTTCTGTTATTGTTTATATATAGAATTCACCGGGTGCGTTCAATCGTCACAGTCTGCTTACCACAACTGCACGGATTGACAATATATTGTGTTTTTGTTTTGCTTTCGAACGTGTCTACTCTGAATTTTCTGGGTTATAGTAATAATATTTTTCATTTATACAAAACGAGATTGCCACTTTTCCTAAGGATTCAGAATAAATTAAAATTTGTGAGAGTGCAACGATATGTCAATTGAACTCGCCGAAAAATTTGACATTTCAATATCTTTTAAACGATATAAGATTTTTAATTAATTTTTGTGTGAAATGCTATTAAAATATGTAAGTCGTAATATTATAGAGAAAATAATAACTTCAAATCTGTGTCCAAGTACCTTTAAGGGATACGTCTGAAATTAGTTTGACCTCGGTTATAGAAACAGAAAAAGCTTTGGAAAAAATTTGTAAAATGACAGTCCATGTTCCCTGTTTAAAAGGAATTTTTGTTTCACAGGGGGGAGGGGGGGGGGGGGCAGATGTTTTAGAAATGTTTTCCGTTTTACGTAAAATTTCTATAGTGAGAAAGACAAGTTATACGAAAATTATAGAGTTATCTCTCTTTGATATCTTAAATAAGTAACGTTTTATGAAAATTCATATTGATATCTATAAAATTTATGAAAATCATTTGAATATGTTAACTCTTGAGAACTGATTAAGAGGTAGGAGGGAGAACAATACTACCGTTCGTAGTTCTTTGATCCAGTTGCATCGGGCAGGAAAATTTATAACTGCTAATTGTATGTATTTGTAGTTTATAATCGGGTATTCGATTACAATATGATTAGATCAGGATGCATGTGACTAAAATCCCCTAAGCCGGTGTACCGTCGACCCGGGAGAAAATTACACCGTGAACGAAATAATGAATATGGGATCATCTGTTGAGACCTACCCTCTCTATTAACATTGAACAGGAAAGAAAAGACACAAAGCATTTGAAAGTTTAATAAAGTTACATCAGGTAGGAAATTTGATCCAGTTGCATCAGGCAGGGAAATATTTAACTGTAAATTCTAGGTATTTGTCGTTAATAATCGCGTATGTGAATACAAAATGATTTGATCAGGATTCATATGACTAAAATCCCCTAAAGCCGGAAAAATTCTCTCTCAACATTTTGAAAAATCACTAAATAGAATACATCGCTAAATGTAATACGTTTACAATGCTTCAAGAAAAGAACTGTTAAGATTTCCAATCTATTAATAAATTTATTCTTTTTTTTTTTGCTAACTTTGGTAAGATTCCAGATAACTATTCAATGAGGACAGTACTAGTGAAAAAATTCTGCATAAAGTATATATCTACAATATAAAAATATTGATTATTCAAATTAGTGCGTTACTTATTAAACAGATTAGAATGATAAATCAATCTAAACAAAAACACCTTGAAAACGATTTTTATTGGACCAATAAGGGACAAGGCAGGGTAACGGCCGAATTTGTCCCCTTATTTGATATAAAATTGAGAAAACTGGTAAATAAGTTTGTAGCTAAGAAATTGGAATGATGCTTGCTTTAAAACAAGCACTAATTTAGATTCAAGGGTTTCATGGAAAGCACTAGAGGTTTCCAAATAAAATCTAGATAATCAGGAGTAGAAACAAGAAATCGTGATGAATCAGAGTATAAGGCTTGAAAAAAATCTTTGGTAATATTTCTTCAACTGGGCTATACACGAATGCTGATTGACAGACAAACAGATAGATACAAGAACAGAGATATAAAAGGATGACCAAGATGACAGACACTTCATGCTCTAACCATATTAATAACATGGAAGACTTTTTTGCACCTAATATTAATATATGCTATGTACAGGGTCACAAAGTTTTTATTTACACATCTTATCAAAGATTCATTTTAGTTATTTAAATACAATTCAAGAAATCCGATTTTTTTACTACCTGACGTCCGGATTTAACAGAAACTAGGGTTCCAATGATTTATGATCTAATATTGCAATACAATATTATATGTAAAATAAAATCTAAAAGCAAATTAATGCAAATACTGTAAACGTATTTTGTTTAGCGTGTACCGTATTTAGCGGGAAAATATTTTAAACAAGTAAGCATCGATTTGATTAATCGCATTTCTTGAAGTTCTTACTCTTGTATCTAAAAGAACACGTTAATGGTATTTTTGAAAGAAAAACTGCGTTAGATTAGATGCATATCCATACATCAAAAGGCTTATAATAATAAATGTTAAAAACGCTAAAAGTTTGCATTTTAATTCAAATTAACGATAATTAGGTAAAATATTGTTAAATCCTTAACAGTTTTTAAGGCTAATTGACCTAAATATCCAGTACGCTAATTTATGTAATAATATTATGCAAATTAATCACAGATTACGACATTTTATGCACTTTTTCCCCTTTTCTAACAGAAAACAAACTTTTTATGCGTTGCAATGTTGGCACACTTTTTGGTGTAGCAATGTTTGTCATCTTTACAATTTTCATGCAAATAAATTGCAAGGGAGGTTGTCTCTTCATTGCGATATTTCCTGTTGTAAATTACAAAGTTAGTGTCAATTACTCTGCATAATTATGTAATTAAATACTTTCGAATACATTGTTAGTTTTGACAGCTACTTGCAGTTACAATCACAATGAATTTTACAAACGAATTAATTCCTCCCATTTCTTCGAAGAATGTAATTAAATGTATTCAAAATGCAAAGTTTAATTTTAATTCGAGATTTGGGTAAGTTTAATATAGATAACCTCATGTTTATGAAAGCCCAGAAGGATCATTCGAGAATCAAGTCTCGAAATACGGATTTGAAATGCGATAGTCGAAATTCAAGATCCAAACAAACCAAAGGCAAGCCAAGAAGTCTCAATCGTACAAAAACCCCGAGGGCTCATTCAAGATTAGAGTTTCGAAATACAAAATTCACAATGTTAAAGAAAGCACCATTGCTTATCATAACTATACACTTAGCACGCTTACTTTGGTTACTTAATACCGAGGTAAATCATGGTAAAAAAAGAGAAAATGCATTTCCACTTTATAACCAATTGCGCACCCCACCCAAAGGAACCACTAACCCTGATGCCCCATATTTCAAAATTTCAAAAAGACATATTTTCTCGTGATAAATGGTTGATGAATACCAAAGAGCAGATTTCAAAGAATTAATTAATTTTTTGAACCTGTAACCCCCCTCCGCCCAGTATCCCTCACCTGAGGGCCCTGAAATTAATCATTTCGAAGAGGCACCTTTCTTAATTATAAATAAGTACTTAGTTCATTTACATAAAACCTAGGAGCAGAGGAAACTATTTTTCATAGGACTCATGAATTTTCACGATATAATCATTAGAGCCCCATTATAACACTAGAACCCCTGACCAAGAATCTTTGAAATTCACAATTATGGAAGAGGCACTCTTACTCATAAAAGCAATGTACATAGTTAATTTATTTGATACCTTGGCTTGGGCCCATTTCATCAAAAGTCGTAAAGTTAAGCCTCAAGTTAATTGTATTTCTGGGGCTTGAGCCAAATTTTAGTCAGACGTAAGTTGGGCTTCACCAAGGAAGGATATGGAAATAACGAACAGTATTCAATCTCAACGTCCATTAAACAAATATACAAAATAAGAGCAGAGCAAACACGGACCTCCGAAACATCAGAGGTGGGATCAGGTGCCATGGAGGAGTGAGCATGCCCTGCCGACCGATCACACCCGCCGTGTGCTCGTTGTCATAATCAGGAAATAACGGAAAAAAAATCCGTGGTCAATTCAGTGTATAAATAATGGACTAACAATTGGTCTGAAAAACGTCAGTCAGCCACCAAGTGGCGTAAGTCTAGTCGTAAACGATATGCTTAGTTGCAGGACTAAGTCTTTGACAACGTTGCAATGCGCAGGCGCAAAACATTAACATTGTCAACTGCGGACAAACATGTATTACATGTATATTTGTAGTTCGCAAAAGTACAGAATTACACAAATTCTAGATTAATGAATACTTGCAGTGATTGAAACATGCATAAATTTATAGGGTCATATAGGAGACATATCTCTTGTAAGAAATCGAAAGTTTTTTTTTTTTTTACATTTCAATAATATACAAGTCTTATTAATTGAAAGCAAGAAAAGGACCGTGCAATGTTCATGTGTTACATCTATTTCGGAATTTTAATTACACCCCCTCTCTTCCCGAATTTGATACAGGTTAATGCCTTAATTCGCCATTGATAACTTATTTTATGATTCGGTTCATACTGATTCTACTGATAAAATACTACTAATAAAGTTCGACAGAAATTAGGGAAGTCAACGAATATTCGAATATTCAATCGATGAGTTGATATTCGAATAAATTTGTGATTCGAATATTCTTTTTTTAGTATTCAAGCATCAAAAAGAGAGAGAAAAACCTGGCGAGTTTTATTAGAAATTGAATCAAGTTTGTAAAAATAAAAATAAAACACATTTCTCTTGGATTACCTTAAAGAAATGTATACTTGCAAGAAAAACTAATGTATAAAACTGCAAACGGGTTACTTATACACATTTTGAGTCAAGAAATAAATTTTACGCGTTTACTACTAAGGTACATTTCAGACAATTCTCTGTACGTCTATTAAATTTTGTCAATTTAAATGATTTATTATTAATATTGTAATTGTTTATAAAATGGCACATAGGTTCATAAAATAATTCCGAAACACTATACTCTAGGTACATGCAGTTATACAATAAAACCTTTAATATAAACTTAATGTACTGTTTAAATGTTTGCGGAGAGAGAGAGAGAAAGAGAGAGAGAGAGAGAAATGACTACAGATATTTTTTAAAGAAATTCTCTGCTTGTGTAGTTTCTCTAAGTTACATTTATTCTTTATTTTGTTTTTCATTAAAAATGTAAGTTATGCAGGAAATAAAAAACATGACTATTTTTTCATCTTATATGCGCTCAGATTTTTTTTATAGAATGTACATGTAAGATTTACTCTTTTAAACGAAATCATGAAAAATAAAGATGCCTTTGCATCAATGTTTGTCTGACAAAAAAATTAAGAATAATTCATTTTCGAACTCAACTGCTAACTTTGGTTTTAAAATGAGTTATTTTTGTTCTTAGATGTAGAAAAATACAAGAAAGAGGATTACGGTGGTTTTGAAACCGATTTTTCTTATCTAAAAATACATTTTGGGGAAAAATTTTTTTTCTTCAAAATTGACAATTTAAGTCAATTAAGCAGAATATATAACTAGAGGATCTGTGTGCAATGAGCTCACTAAATGATTTCCTTGCCTCGAATATAATGGCAGCGTCCATGTTTTGCTATAGGAAATCCATAATATGTGTCGGATCAAAAAGTAAAATGAGGCATAATGGCAATTTGTTATAAAGATTCTGTGAAAGTCTCATCAAATTTCATTCAGTGGTATGAGAGGAGTTGCGGCTAAGAGATGGATACCCCAATGCTTAACAGACGGACGGACAGATCGACATCCCGATTACTATATACCCTCCCGCTTTCGAAGCGGGCTATTTGTATAAATGTAGGTATAAATGTGTCGTCGATTAAACAATAACTTAAAAATACAATACAACAATCAAATGTATGTGAATGCATTATCATAATGTATAGAAATGTTGTTTGAAGAAAACTCTATGTATTAATAAGACAATCTTTTTTTCTCGGAAGAAATTTATTAAAATATGAAGTACGTTTTAATCCAATCAACTACGTCCCCATGTGGTTGTAAAAAGCCCCATCCTCTCCCAACTCTTCACAATATGCATAATTAAATCAGGGACCTATATACAATTAGTTAATATAAAGGTCCCTCATAAAATATTATTTTTTGTGTTTTGAAGACTTCTGAGAACCGTACGTTTTCTTAAGCACTCGCTAAATTGTTTTAAAATCAGTAAAATTGCTTAATTTTAACTTTACGCCCGAACTTAGGCCAATCCATGAGCTGACGTAAAGTTTTGGCCTACCTGGTTTTTAGCCCCCCCCCTCCGTCACCTAACGGGAGGGGGGGTAGGGACCATGAAATTCACAACATTTGTTTACCTGTATGAATAATATATCGTAATTAAATAAAATAATTCCTTTATTAGGAGGAAAAAGACTTAAAAAATAAAGAGGTTACATGTACTTTCTATTAAATTGATGAAAGGAACTGTGACTGTGATGGAGATTTTTTTTCTATCTAATTCCTATAGTAAGAATGTAATCAAAACATAATTAAATTAGCATGATAATTTGCAGTGTTATTAATTAAATCACTATCAATGTAGTTGAGAATGATCAATTACAAAATACGCCCATTTGCTCATTTCCTATGAAACATTTAATTAATTTTACCAAATTACAATTTTCTATTTTTAATTACATGTACCTTACCCTGTTAAAACGAGAGAACGCTTTCAAAGTATTTTGTCGCAAATTATTTGATAAGTTATATACCCTTCTAATGGTTTTACCAGGTCTGAGGTCCCTTGTTGGACAACGGCTAAGTTAATATTGCAATTTGAGAAAGAAAATACTTACCTTTCTTTTAGTCGATGACAACAAAAATCATCAGTTTTGTTCAAACTACAAATTACATATACCAATGATCAGAATCATATGATCTTACTTCAGTCAGGCAAATTAAAATAAATACAAACTTACGTGATTAATAAATCATTTTCTTCTCTATAGTTCAAAATGTCACAGTTTGTTGCGCTTATTTGGGCTTCAATGTAGGATTCTTTTCACAAACAAATAATCTGTAATTAAAGATCACAAGTTTCTGATTTGAATTTATTCCCCCGTCTTTAGTAAATTGATTTCCCTGTGTTGTATTAAATATAATTCACAGGGAAGGAAAATGTTAAAAACTATTGCTAGTGAGCGTATGACTGGGAAGAATTTGAAAGTCGGTCAATTTCAAGGTGAATAGTCTAAAGTTATGAACAAATATATTATAAAGCAACTTATTTTCTTCCAATAAAAATGACATAGTTTATCACTGAGTCATTGAACATAAATTTCAAATCTTTTAGGAGCAAAAGAAATTAAGTTTCATTATTATGCTGCAAATTAGCTAAATCTAATTTGTCAATAAACATTTGCTAAAGAAATCATTATTAGCCACTGAGTGATAAAGGTCCTAAATCGTAGCGACAGACACTATTACTTTATGACGGGTTATCCTGCACAGAATTAATGCTTAAAGTGCTGCAATGATTAGGCTTTTCGAAGTTTTTAAAACATTTGAAATACATGTACATATGTATAAAAAACTGAATTGCAAGCTTAAGCATAGTCAATTTATATAAAGAGTTCCCTTAGCTTTATATAAATAAATGTTCTGATTCCACATGATTTCGTTGATTACATTCTAGTTATTAAAACGTTTTGACGGGTTTAGAATAAATCGCTTCTGCCCAGCCGATGAACACAATTAAAATTAACTATTTGTTATATAAACTCGCCCTTTCTATGTGAACCCGAAATGTGCGTTGGAAGAATTATACATATTTTTCCTGTTTACAAACTATTTTACCATAAATTAAGCTTACCGACTAGAATTCGATCAACAAACATGCCTTATAGGCATAGCAAATATGCAAATTTAAAAAAAAGGGGTTTAGAAACTATGTTTTGGTTTATTATCAACATAGAACATTGACGGATTTTATATGTTAACTATTCCGTCAAAACCGGATATTACGATGTTAATCTTAATTCTTAATCGCAGCATTGCTTGAGATTTCCAGGAAAATTCTCAAAAAGCTAGGTTCAATTTGTACAAAAAATGGCCCTGCACTTACGAGAGCACATTTCATAATCCTAAAAAATTAAAATGTACATTGATCATCAGAAAGAGATCTTTCATTATGTAATTTCATATTTTGGATCAGACGTTGTGCTCTATAAGATATATTGAAAAAATAATGTCATTTTAGGCCATTTTCTAAGGAATTTACAGGATATTGGGAAATTACGCATTTTATGACGTAATAATACATTGACTAAAGGGAAAATTACGTCATGTTCAATAGATACGACGTCAACGAGAGTCCAAATTATAAATCCTGCATTTTCGGCCTAAACTGAGCAGTTATGATTTTTCAGAAATTCTCCGGGTAAAAAAAAGCCGCAAGTGGCTCTTACTCTTTAAAACCATTAATCGTGGTTTTCACAAAGAGCACGGTCGTTACCGCAAAATAATGAAATAGAAAGGGAAATATAACTGTTCGAGAAATAGTTTCCAATGAAAATATTTTGTACATGTAATAACGTACGAAAGCCCATTGAGCTCATTTTTGAAGGTTCAAAAATAATTATTTTTTCGTGTTATAACGCGAAACATTCGCGAATAAATGCGTAACTTTCGCTCTATAGCGCGAAGCAATTGCTGTTGAACCAAGACTGTATGTAAAGTGTAAAATTTACAGATTAAAGTGTATAATCAGATTAAAGTGTAAATTTTACAGAATAAGGTGTACATTTTATAGATTTTAGTGTGATATTTACAGATTAAAATGTAAAATTTACAGATTAAAGTGTAAAATTTACAGATTAAAGTGTAGAATTAAAAAGAAGGTAGAGTGTCTAAGTGGCATTAATATGCTCCGTAGTAGAATGGTAAACTATTTCATTTTCTCTTTTTTTTTTTACTTAGAGAGATATCTGTTTTTCAAGTTTAAAAGAGATATCTCTCTTAATTAGAGAGATATCTCTTTAGATTTTCAAAAAGAGATATCTTTCTAAGCTAAAGAGATATATCTTTTAATGAAAGAGATCTCTCTTTTTCAATCACCCTGAAAATAAAATAATTAATTCTCCCGTCAAAAACAAAAGCGAAACAGGAAGTAATGTCTGTTAAGTCGTTCGTTTTCTGATTATTGAAGAGAAAAGGATAAAATGGACAGATTGATACAGGTAAACAACGTTTAATTGCTTTATTGTTTAAGCGGAAGTAACAGGATTTCAAACCAAAACATTCCCAAAAGATTGGTTCCATATTATATTTATTTCATTTATTTAGCTCACAGGACAGCTAAGGTTGGGATATAGAATGCATAGTCAATAAAAACAAATGGGAAATACATGTACCCAATTTCATCGATCACGGGAATATAGGGTTGATTACTACGTCGATTAAAAATAATCCTGATAGAATTAATGTTTTTTTTTAATTAATTAATATTCCAAAAATAAAAACGTCCAACATTACTTCTTATATGTACACAGGGATGTATATATTCAATTTCAATATTAACTGTATGACGTTAAAGAACATACATGTACGATCAATATATTAACTGTAGAGCCTTATGACCCCTTTCCCAAACACAGGCACCTGAAGTATGGATAATACCCCCCTTTTTTACTAAAAAAAAAATTTAATACCCCCCTTTTTTTACTTTAAAAAAGTTGGGGGTATTATCCATACTTCAGGTGCCTGTGTTCCCAAATACTCTTACAGTTATGAGAAAGACATTTTATTTTCTTAAAACAGGCATAAGAAATAGGAATTTTCTTATTTGTCATAGCTAGAACAATCCCCAATTTATCCAATGGTGTCACCCAATAGGTCTGCACTGGGTCCATAGGACATTCATCAATCAATGGTAGAACATATTATCTACATTTGTCATTATATTTTACAGGGATACAGGAAGTACTGAAAAAGGGACAATGCTTTGACTGAATGTGTCATCCATGTACCAGTATAGATCTGTTAATGAGGCATATCCAATAATTCTTATACTCATGAAGAGTGTGGCAACTTCCAAGTAGTTAATGATGGCACTCATTTTAAATCAGCTACAGGATAAATTTTTGGGCTGCACTTTTTTTTACTTCAATATTTCAAACTTACTAATTCAGTTTCAAGTCCACAAAAGCTCAAACACCATGGTAAATCAATGGACCATAATGCTAGTTAAATTTGTCATATGCTTTCCTATTAAATTATCAATTTGAAATTTGATTGGTAAAAAACATTTATTAACAAGTACAATTCTTCTACTATGTGCCTGTCATTAAATCCCAACGATTGCAAATATTTATGCACATTGATAGGTTCTCAATGAAAAATTGCTAACTTTGCAGAATGTTTGCACATTTTTTTTTCAATGAACGACATTTTCTTAACATGGAATCCTTCAGTATAACAAAACAAATATTGCATACTTACTTTAATACACTATAAACTAGGGCTAATTGTAACGGGAACCGTTACAGATGTTCCCCAAACGCTCCCCAACTCCCTTTTGGTGCTTAATTCCCTGTAAGCTTCATTAAATAAGACGAACTCTATGCCTTTTAGACTATAACAATGTTTTCCCAGAAGTATATTCAGTATATTCAAATTTATGCATTGCACGCATGCGCATTTGAATGCATCTGCATAATGACCATATCATCTTGTCTACACTACTTATATACTAGAAATTACAGCGTTTTATCCAAAAGTATTAAAAAATACATTTTAATCTAGTGTATTTGTAATTTTACTCATTTCACGTGCACGCACGTGCATGCATGTGCATGTCGACTGTATCTTCTTGTAGGAGTCTGTTATGTTTGTCTATGTTCTAAATCCCATCCTGTTTGGTTGAAAAACGAGGAAGTTATAGCCAGTTTAATTTTAAGCCAATCAGATTGCATCGCACGTGTATGCGCATGTTTTCATGACAACTGTTATATATCATATTGTAGTACATCTTAATGCATGATTATAATTAAAATTTTGAAGCATTTCGTCAAAAATTAAAAAAAGATAGTGCGATTTCTGTTTCAGCGAATCACAGCAAAGTAGTTATAGCCTTTTAAAGTTTAAGCCAATCAGATTGCAGCGCATGTGCATGCGCGTTTTTACATGAAAATTGTTATAATTCATATTGTAGTACATCCTAAAGTATTCCTATATTTTAAATTTCAAAGCTTTTCGTCAAAAAACAGAAAAGATATTGAGATTTTCGTTGCAGCCAATCAGAGCAAAGCGCACGTGCATGCGCGTGAGTTCGTGCTAATTTGACAGTGTCACATTATCTACACTATCAATATATCCTTATTAAATGAGTTTTAAAATATTTCATCAAAAAATGTTAAAGTTATGGCTATATAAAGTATATCCGTCATTTCACTCATTTCACGCGCCCGCACGTGCATGCATATGCGCGCAAAATAACCTTCGCGTTGCACACCTACACTACACACCTATTCACCCTAAAAAGGTTTTAGCTCAGTTGGGTGAACAGTTTCTGAGAACACTCGCGGACAAAAAAAGTACTGGAGAACAAAGAAGAAAAAAAAGAATAACTAGATGAGATCTCGTTGCGAGCAACGAGTAGGTCTTCCGTTGAATTTCTCGATAAGATGAGATGTGAATTTGACTGAGATATTTGTTAAAAGAGAATGACATTACGTTTTCCTTCATTAATTTTAAAGTTTGTTTTTTATCACGATATTCTGAACATCTTTTGTTCAATATAGAATATAAAATATTCCCTCTTTTCGAAACGAAATGCATAAAATATATATCATTTTGGTCCCTTGCAACCACTTATTACGTAACATATGATCAAAATTTAATAAAATATTGTTGCAAATCATTAAGATGAATATCTGTGCTTCTCAAAATGGATACTTATCAAAAAATATTGATCATGAAAGAGTTGAAGATGAAAGACTTTTGTTCCCTCTGGGGCCCTAATTGAAGGAGTAAGCCCCTTT